CATACCACCAGCTGTCTCTCATACCAACTCCTGAAGAACTGTTAGTCATAAACAAAGGCTCATGTACGTTTATAATTCGACATAATAAGCCTCGATCACAAAGATGCATCTGGAGATTGTTCTCTTGCTGTTGCCATAAGCGACCAGACGAGTGTTATTCTGGGCAAGATTTGTTCGAGTGGTTTTATCGCCCGTGATTTGTTTGCAGTTCCGATTGTTAGGATTGAAAACGTTCAGGGATATTATCTTACAAGGTAAATTGTTGAGGTGTTGCAACAGACATGGCAAAAGTTAAGCAGACAAGAACCTGCAAACTGCGCAGACAGCTGTAGTACACTAAATAATTGGGCATATATTTGACAAGTCAACTGGTTGTGCATCCTAATATTTCCTGACGTTCAGAATGTTCACCATTAGACACCTGTATCTCATCACTAGACACACCTGTATCTCTCCAATAGACACACCTGTATCTCACCAGTAGACACACCTGTATCTCATAACAAGACACCTTTTTCTCACCACTAGATACGCCTATATCTCTCCACTAGATGCAAACCGAACCACCAATACTTGATTTGTTACTCTCATCAAATGCTTATCTTTCAAATTCTGTGTCACATGTGTGAAGAGAAGATTGAGATTCATTTGAAATCACATAATCGCACTCTTCCTAAAGATCTGATTTTGACCTTTCAAGGGAAGTGTCTCCATCTTGTAGAATTCCATTCCCATGTCGTTTACCAAACAAATTGGAGATTGCTTCATTGTGTAACCTGACACTTCATTATGGTCGTCATGACAACGGTGTAATTTATACCATTCATGCCACGCCCTTTGATGGTACAGTCACCCTGAAGGAGACTGATGTCTCTGAATTTGATGCGTCGTCACAATCTCAGTTATCTTCCATTTATTTGAGCTGACATCGTGAGATATTTTTGCAATCAATATTCAAACTGTTGCAGAGGGTTGATGCCAAATCCTCAGTGATGTTATGTAAAACCAATTTGTTGATATCAATATGATGACATCTAGTATTGCTATTTTATGTAGAGTTGAGAAGGTTTTTGAGAATTTTGTGGTCTGAATTGATAACTGAATGTTTGAATAATTCATTATATTTGCAAGTAACAATTGTTTTTTTAAACAATTAAAATAATAATTCAAAACTCAATCTTAGTTGACTGGGAAACAATGTTTGATATGCACAGTGGTTACAATTGTTATGTTTATAAACAGCAACAAATGGAGTGGAGTTTTTTCTTGAAAACCTATGATGAATGACTTGAATTTATTTCATTAACCATTGGAGCATTATACTAAGCCTCCCTCTGCAGTTCACATGCCAATATATGTATAAAAAATATTCAAACCACATTGTATTGGAATTTGCCAAAGAGGGCCTGGAAGTTTTTGTGGAGACTGATTATTTTTTTAGCTAACGCTGGATAAACCAGATATTTTTTTCATTAAAACTATGAGCCATAACAAAAAAAAAAGAAGAAATCTTGCAACTATGTATTTTTTGTGGCAGACAATTCTGGGGAGGACAGGTCCCTGTGCTTGTCTTGAGAGCCCTACTGAAATAGGTCCCCAGTACCCTGTGCTTGTACTGAGAGCCAGACTGAAATAGGTCCCCAGTACCCTGTTCTTGTATTTAGAGCCAGACTGAAATAGGTCCCCAGTACCCTGTGCATGTCTTGAGAGCCCGACTGAAATAGGTCCCCAGTACCCTGTTCTTGTATTTAGAGCCCGACTGAAATAGGTCCGAAGTACCCTGTGCATGTCTTGAGAGCCCGACTGAAATAGGTCCCCAGTACCCTGTTCTTGTATTGAGAGCCTGACTGAAATAGGTCCCCAGTACCCTGTGCTTGTATTGAGAGCCCGACTGAAATAGGTCCCCAGTACCCTGTTCTTGTATTTAGAGCCCGACTGAAATAGGTCCCCAGTACCCTGTTCTTGTATTGAGAGCCTGACTTAAATAGGTCCCCAGTACCCTATTTTTTTTAAGCTCGTCCAACACAACATAATATCATTTAGTTGTTTTGGACATAATAGGAGAATTGACATTCCAGAGTAAGAAGATATATTCATTCAAAAATGGCAGGTTAGTTTTATACAAAAGTTCCGGGATTTGGGAGGATGTACACTCTATAGAAATAACCGAAAACCCATTTGGACAGTTTGCTCTGCGTGACACTCTTGACACATTTGGTGACTGAAGAAAGTGGGGAGCGCACTTGGTGCACCCAGGCCCACGTGTGAGTGAGTTAGTGAGTGAGTATGGTTTTACGCCGCTTTTAAGCAATATTCCAGAAATATCATGGCGGGTTACACCAGAAATGGGCTTCACACATTGTACCCATGTTGGGAATTGAACCCGGGTCTTTGGCGTGATGAGCGAACGCCCTGACTGCCCCTCCAGGCACACGAGACCTGCCAGAACATTTGTACGTGTTCTTGCTTCGGTCCAAAAAATGCTGCATGAGTTTATTGACAAGATAGATTTTCCTTCAGTAGCACAATGTTTCACAAATATGACTGGTCCTTAAATGATGGAGACTGTTTTCAATTTGGTAATGATGAAGAAAATGTCAAAATGTTGCAGATCAGTTCATCATCCAGACATTGACTGGTCCTAATAGAAATTGTTTTTAAATTGGTAATGATAAAGAAAATGTCAGATCAAACATTGATTAAATCAGGAAAAGGTTCATGATGTTATGTCATTTGTGTCGCCAAAAGTCACTGGACAGTGTAATCCCGAATTTGTGGGGCAAATAACCAATTTATCACATAATTGATGCTCACTAATTTGGATTAACTTTTCACACATTTTATAATTAAGCTGTTCTCATAAATAATGTTTCATTTACTACTGGCTACCACAAGCGATAAGAGCAATCTATGCACACTGATGAAATTACATCACAGTGCTTTGCTTTACCATGACATCACAATCAAATGACATCACTTATCTCTCTGCCACTTAAACTGAAGACAATTTCTGCAACTTTAGGTTATTTGTATATTCATACTTCTAAGATATTCCAAGATATTTGTTCTATTTACCATTCACTGTCATAGGTGTAGTAAGTAATTGAACTGCAGATGCATGGATATTTCTTTCTGTAGGCCCATGGCAATAGATGGTTGACATTGATGCCTTGCTGTAGTATTGACAGTTGCAATAGATATAGCACAGTGAAACAAATTACAATCTTTCAGCATTTGTTTGTTACTTGTTTGTTGTTTAATGCCGCACTCAGCAATATTTCAGCTATATGACAGCAGTCTGTAAATAATCGAGTCTGGACCAGACAATCCAGTGATTGATATCATCAGCATCAATCCACACACTTGGGATCAATGACATGCATCAACCAAATCAGCGAGCCTGACCACCCAATCCTGTTAGTCGCCTCTTACAACAAGCATAGTCCCCTTTTACGGCAAACACTGGTTGCTGAAGACCTTTTCTAACCCGGAATTTCACAGGTCAGTCTCTTTACAATCAAAAATTATTCATAAGTTCCAGAACTAGCTTCTTCAGCAACAATCAACAAAACCTGTAGGTATTAGTGATAATGTGATACCTGACCCATAAAATGCAAACTTGCATTATAGGAACGTAAGCTTACTGTCAATAATAATAATGATGATGATGATGATGGTAATAATGATGATGATGATGATGATAATAACAACAACAATAATAATAATAAAACCTTTAAGCATGGGGTCAGATAAATTTTATAAGAAAGATTAGAATGTGAGAGTATCAGAAATGACAGAAAAATGATGAAACTTAACTCAAGAAATTTGTGTTCACCATTAAAACAATTTTGTTGATGTAAGATATGTTCATGACATAAAGAGAACCGAACAAACATTGAATTGAAAAGGTTCTAATACTTTCAACAAAACAAATGGTAGAAAATAGACATTATTCTTTTAGATGACATTAAAGATCTCACTTTACTTTACACATGAAATGTAATCTGTTGACATTTCTTAAAAATATAATCTGTCAGCAGTTGATGTGAGCTTATTGTCCATAATTGTGCCAAGATACTTGTATCATGTAACTATTTATTTAACAAAAATCGCTGAAATACTCTTGTAAGCAGAGTAAAACCCACCTCACTCATGATTGTGTTGTCAATATGTTGTGTACCTTTAATGCCTCAGATCCAAGAGATGTGATTTAGAGTGATAACATTTCAAGATGGCTTGATTGGGTAATTCTGTTCACTGATTCTGGGTTTATTGTATGTTATTTCCATTTAATTGACAAATACCAGATATCTGATTCATCCTGCTTGAGTTTCAGGGCAAACATCAAGTGTCATTGCAGGCATTCCTTTGAGAAAAAACCTGAAAAAGTTAAAAACAGCTATTTGCCAAGAAATATATTTTTATGTTTTCTTACCAGGTTAGAATGACTTTCAATACCCAAATTCAGAATGTTATATCACTAAATACATGAATATTCATTAACTACAATTTGGATAAGTTAAGACTGATATTGTTGCAACATGAATCAGGTCTGATCTGAAACTAAAATAATCTCAAATTGACTTGGAAAAAAATTGAATGTGTAGAAATTCAGTAATTACCTGAAGTACTATACAAAACATAAAAAGCATCCATGACATGCTTCAAATTTAATTTTAAGCACTTGGTGAACCAACATATAAGGCATGATGTATCTTAACTTAATTTACAGGTTCAGGGACCCAGTATTTCAGAAATATTAAATTAAATTAAAAGAATAAGCAACATTCTTTTCTGGTGACAGTTGAGAAGGTGTTGCTGATGAAGCACTGGTTTGCAGAAGGTGGTCCTTGGGTCTGCAGGAAGTATTGCTTGGGGCTGCAGAAGGTGGTCCTTGGGTCTGCAGGAAGTACTGCTTGGGGCTGCAGAAGGTGGTCCTTGGGTCTGCAGGAAGTACTGCTTGGGGCTGCAGAAGGTGGTCCTTTGGTCTGCAGGGAGTACTACTTGGGGCTGCAGAAGGTGGTCCTTGGGTCTGCAGGAAGTACAACTTGGGTCTGCAGAAGGTGGTCCTTGGGTCTGCAGAAAGTACTGCTTTGGGCTGCAGAAGGTGGTCCTTGGGTCTGCAGGAAGTACTGCTTGGGGCTGCAGAAGGTGGTCCTTGGGTCTGCAGGAAGTACTGCTTGGGGCTTCAGAAGGTGGTCCTTGGGTCTGCAGGAGGTACAACTTTGGGCTGCAAAAGGTGGTCCATGGGTCTGCAGGAAGTACTGGTTGGGGCTGCAGAAGGTGGTCCTTGGGTCTGCAGGAAGTACTACTTGGGGCTGCAGAAGGTGGTCCTTGGGTCTGCAGGAAGTACTACTTGGGGCTGCAGAAGGTGGTCCTTGGGTCTGCAGGAAGTACTGCTTGGGGCTGCAGAAGGTGGTCCTTGGGTCTGCAGGAAGTACTACTTGGGGCTGCAGAAGGTGGTCCTTGGGTCTGCAGGAAGTACTGCTTGGGGCTGCAGAAGGTGGTCCTTGGGTCTGCAGGAAGTACTGCTTGGGGCTGCAGAAGGTGGTCCTTGGGTCTGCAGGAAGTACTGCTTGGGGCTGCAGAAGGTGGTCCTTGGGTCTGCAGGAAGTACAACTTTGGGCTGCAGAAGGTGGTCCATGGGTCTGCAGGAAGTACTGGTTGGGGCTGCAGAAGGTGGTCCTTGGGTCTGCAGGAAGTACTACTTGGGGCTGCAGAAGGTGGTCCTTGGGTCTGCAGGAAGTACTACTTGGGGCTGCAGAAGGTGGTCCTTGGGTCTGCAGGGAGTACCACTTGGGGCTGCAGAAGGTGGTCCTTGGGTCTGCAGGAAGTACAACTTGGGGTTGCAGAAGGTGGTCCTTGGGTCTGCAGGAAGTACTACTTGGGGCTGCAGAAGGTGGTCCTTGGGTCTGCAGGAAGTACTGCTTGGGGCTGCAGAATATTCTGAAGGGCTGTGGAAGGTGTTATTTGTTTGATTGTTATTTAACACCGCACTCAGCAATATTCCAGCTAAATGACAGCAGTCTGTAAATAATCGCGTGTTGGTTGGGGCTGAAGAAAGTGTTAAGGGTATGAGAGAGTAGCTATGGTTACACTGAGGGACTGAGAGAGTAGCTCAGGTTAAACTGGGGGTATGAGAGAGTAGCTATGGGAGGATAGTGCTCAGGTGACACTGAGGGAATGAGAGAGTAGCTCAGGTTACACCGAGGGTATGAGAGAGTAGCTCAGGTTAAACTGAGGGTATGAGAGAGTAGCTCAGGTTAAACTGAGGGTATTAGAGAGTAGCTCAGGTTACACCGAGGGTATGAGAGAGTAGCTCAGGTGACACTGAGGGTATGAGAGAGTAGCTCAGGTGACACTGAGGGTATGAGAGAGGAGTTCAGGTTACACTGAGGGTACAAGAGAGTAGTTATGGTTACACTGAGGGTATGAGAGAGTAGCAGCTGTTTCACTGAGGGTATGAGAGAGTAGCAGTGGTTTCATTGAGGGTATGAGAGAGTAGGTATGGTTACACAAAGGGTATGAGAGAGTATCTCAGGTTACACTGATGGTATGAGAGAGTAGGTATGGTTACACTGAGGGTATGAGAGAGTAGCTATGGTAACACTGAGGGTACGAGAGAGTAGCTATGGTTACTCTGAGGGTATGAGAGAGTAGCAGTGGTTTCATTGAGGGTATGAGAGAGTAGGTATGGTTACACAAAGGGTATGAGAGAGTATCTCAGGTTACACTGATGGTATGAGAGAGTAGCAGTGGTTTCATTGAGGGTATGAGAGAGTAGCTCAGGTTACACTGAGGGTATGAGAGAGTAGGTATGGTTACACTGAGGGTACGAGAGTAGCTCAGGTTAAACTGAGGGTATGAGAGAGTAGCTCAGGTTACACTGAGGGTACGAGAGAGTAGCTCAGGTTAAACTGAAGGTGTGAGAGAGTAGGTATAGTTACACTGAGGGTATGAGAGAGTAGTTATGGTTACACTGAGGTTATGAGAGAGTAGGTATGGTTACACAAAGGGTACGAGAGAGTAGCTCAGGTTAAACTGAAGGTGTGAGAGAGTAGGTATAGTTACACTGAGGGTATGAGAGAGTAGTTATGGTTACACTGAGGGTATGAGAGAGTAGGTATGGTTACACTAAGGGTACGAGAGAGTAGCTCAGGTTAAACTGAAGGTGTGAGAGAGTAGGTATAGTTACACTGAGGGTACGAGAGAGTAGCTCAGGTTACACTGAGGTTATGAGAGAGTAGGTATGGTTTCACTGAGGGTACGAGAGAGTATCTCAGGTTAAACTGAGGTTATGAGAGAGTAGGTATGGTTACACTGAGGGTACGAGAGAGTAGTTCAGGTTACACTGAGGGTATGAGAGAGTAGCTCAGGTTACACTGAGGGTGTGAGAGAGTAGCTCAGGTTAAACTGAGGGTATGAGAGAGTAGCTCAGGTTAAACTGGGGGTATGAGAGAGTAGCTATGGGAGGATAGTGCTCAGGTGACACTGAGGGAATGAGAGAGTAGCTCAGGTTACACCGAGGGTATGAGAGAGTAGCTCAGGTTAAACTGAGGGTATGAGAGAGTAGCTCAGGTTACACTGAGGGTGTGAGAGAGTAGTTCAGGTTACACTGAGGGTACGAGAGAGTAGCTCAGGTTAAACTGAAGGTGTGAGAGAGTAGGTATAGTTACACTGAGGGTATGAGAGAGTAGTTATGGTTACACTGAGGGTACGAGAGAGTAGCTATGGTTACACTGAGGGTACGAGAGAGTAGCTATGGTTACATTGAGGGTACGAGAGAGTAGCTCAGGTTAAACTGAGGGTATGAGAGAGTAGCTCAGGTAACACTGAGGGTATGAGAGAGTAGCTCAGGTTAAACTGAGGGTATGAGAGAGTATCTCAGGTTACACTGAGGGTATGAGAGAGTATCTCAGGTTACACTGAGGGTACGAGAGAGTATCTCAGGTTACACTGAGGGTATGAGAGAGTAGCTATAGTTAAATTGAGGGTACGAGAGAGTAGCTATAGTTACACCGAGGGTATGAGAGAGTAGCTCAGGTTACACTGAGGGTATGAGAGAGTAGCTGAGGTTACACTGAGGGTACGAGAGAGTAGGTATAGTTACACTGAGATTATGAGAGAGAGCAGCTATGGGAGGAAGGGGCTCAGTTTACACTGAATACGGTAATCTCTGTGAAAGCAGCAGGAACTCTTAATGGGAATTCGGGCTCAGACTTTGAGCGAGTAGGATTTAATTTCCAGGAAACTATTATTTCCTCCAACAGAGGTGTCAAACACAGAATTAGTTGTAACTATCAATTAGTGAGTTGGTGAATCCCTCACGATACTGGGTAATGTTGTTGTGCTGACAGAGGCACAAATACAACTCTGGATGCTACAGAAGTAATGAGTTGTCAGCAGGACTCAGGATCATGTTTCATTTCACATTTCCGGGATGCTCGGCCTTTCACTAATCCAATAACAGAATAGGTCCCCAGTACTCCATGCTTGTCATTAGAGTTGACTGTAGTTAGGACCTGTGATCCAGTGATGGAATAGGTCCCCAGTACCCCATGCTTGTCATAAGAGTTGACTGTTACTTAGTAAAGGCCTGTAATCCAGTGATGGAATAGGTCCCCAGTACCCCATGCTTGTCATAAGAGTTGACTGTAACTAAGTGAAGGCCTGTAATCCAGTGATGGAATAGGTCCCCAGTACCCCATGCTTGTCATAAGAGTTGACTGTTACTTAGTAAAGGCCTGTAACCCAGTAATGGAATAGGTCCCCAGTACCCCATGCTTGTCATAAGAGTTGACTGTAACTAAGTGAAGGCCTGTAATCCAGTGATGGAATAGGTCCCCAGTACCCCATGCTTGTCATAAGAGTTGACTGTTACTTAGTGAAGGCCTGTAATCCAGTGATGGAATAGGTCCCCAGTACCCCATGCTTGTCATAAGAGTTGACTGTTACTTAGTGAAGGCCTGTAATCCAGTGATGGAATAGGTCCCCAGTACCCCATGCATGTCATAAGAGTTGACTGTTACTTAGTGAAGGCCCGTACTCCAGTGATGGAATAGGTCCCCAGTACCCCATGCATGTCATAAGAGTTGACTGTAACTAAGTGAAGGCCTGTAATCCAGTGATGGAATAGGTCCCCAGTACCCCATGCTTGTCATAAGAGTTGACTGTTACTTAGTGAAGGCCTGTAATCCAGTGATGGAATAGGTCCCCAGTACCCCATGCTTGTCATAAGAGTTGACTGTTACTTAGTAAAGGCCTGTAATCCAGTGATGGAATAGGTCCCCAGTACCCCATGCATGTCATAAGAGTTGACTGTAACTAAGTGAAGGCCTGTAATCCAGTGATGGAATAGGTCCCCAGTACCCCATGCTTGTCATAAGAGTTGACTGTTACTTAGTGAAGGCCTGAAATCCAGTGATGGAATAGGTCCCCAGTACCCCATGCTTGTCACAAGAGTTGACTGTAACTAAGTGAAGGCCTGTAATCCAGTGATGGAATAGGTCCCCAGTACCCAATGCATGTCATAAGAGTTGACTGTAACTAAGTGAAGGCCCGTACTCCAGTGATGGAATAGGTCCCCAGTACCCCATGCTTGTCATAAGAGTTGACTGTTACTTAGTGAAGGCCTGTAATCCAGTGATGGAATAGGTCCCCAGTACCCCATGCATGTCATAAGAGTTGACTGTAACTAAGTGAAGGCCTGTAATCCAGTGATGGAATAGGTCCCCAGTACCCCATGCATGTCATAAGAGTTGACTGTAACTAAGTGAAGGCCCGTACTCCAGTGATGGAATAGGTCCCCAGTACCCCATGCTTGTCATAAGAGTTGACTGTTACTTAGTGAAGGCCTGTAATCCAGTGATGGAATAGGTCCCCAGTACCCCATGCATGTCATAAGAGTTGACTGTAACTAAGTGAAGGCCCGTACTCCAGTGATGGAATAGGTCCCCAGTACCCCATGCTTGTCATAAGAGTTGACTGTTACTTAGTGAAGGCCTGTAATCCAGTGATGGAATAGGTCCCCAGTACCCCATGCATGTCATAAGAGTTGACTGTAACTAAGTGAAGGCCCGTACTCCAGTGATGGAATAGGTCCCCAGTACCCCATGCTTGTCATAAGAGTTGACTGTTACTTAGTGAAGGCCTGTAATCCAGTGATGGAATAGGTCCCCAGTACCCCATGCATGTCATAAGAGTTGACTGTAACTAAGTGAAGGCCCGTACTCCAGTGATGGAATAGGTCCCCAGTACCCCATGCTTGTCATAAGAGTTGACTGTTACTTAGTGAAGGCCTGTAACCCAGTGATGGAATAGGTCCCCAGTACCCCATGCATGTCATAAGAGTTGACTGTAACTAAGTGAAGGCCCGTACTCCAGTGATGGAATAGGTCCCCAGTACCCCATGCTTGTCATAAGAGTTGACTGTTACTTAGTGAAGGCCTGTAATCCAGTGATGGAATAGGTCCCCAGTACCCCATGCATGTCATAAGAGTTGACTGTAACTAAGTGAAGGCCCGTACTCCAGTGATGGAATAGGTCCCCAGTACCCCATGCTTGTCACAAGAGTTGACTGTAACTAAGTGAAGGCCCGTACTCCAGTGATGGAATAGGTCCCCAGTACCCCATGCTTGTCATAAGAGTTGACTGTAACTAAGTGAAGGCCTGTAATCCAGTGATGGAATAGGTCCCCAGTACCCCATGCTTGTCATAAGAGTTGACTGTAACTAAGTGAAGGCCTGTAATCCAGTGATGGAATAGGTCCCCAGTACCCCATGCTTGTCATAAGAGTTGACTGTAACTAAGTGAAGGCCTGTAATCCAGTGATGGAATAGGTCCCCAGTACCCCATGCTTGTCATAAGAGTTGACTGTTACTTAGTGAAGGCCCGTACTCCAGTGATGGAATAGGTCCCCAGTACCCCATGCTTGTCATAAGAGTTGACTGTAACT